CATAATTGTTATACTGTATTTTTTATTTATATTATTTATCATTGTATTGGTTTTTTCCCCCCAAAATATTTTTGAGCCACAGTTGGTTGAATCTGCTCACATGGAACCCTTGGATATGGAGGGCAGATTGTATTTGTCTTGCTGTTTCATGCAAGTTTAATTTAAAATGAGAACCAACAGCAAAGAATAAACAGAAAATATAAGTCTCATCAAGAAAAAGTTAGTCTCATCAAGACTAACTTTGCCTTTAGTTTCACATCATTAAAGAACTCTTAACATCAGAGCTAAACTTCCCCTCCCCCTACAAAGGAAGTAACTAGGCAAAGTCAAACCTCACAAAGAAAAACTATCTAAACCCACTGAAACACACAGCTATGCTGAAAACTACCATCACTTAAACTAAGATTTAAAAATAACTGGTTCTACTCTTACTAATCTTCTTTGCTAGGTCTTCTCTTTCTATCTACTCAATAGATAAATGTAGGTAATTCACAAGATACAGTCATCCAATAATGGCAACTCTCTCATCTCCTACCACAGTTTCATCTATTACCTCTAAGTTGACAGCTTCATGTAAAGGTCCAAAGCCTCTTCACCAGCATGCCCCATAGCCTCACAAAATCAAACAGGCCTGCCTGCTCTAATTAAACATACTAATGGCCTATTTAAGCAGATGGGCCTGCCAAAATAAAGGGTGACTAGGTTCCTACTCCGCTACTTCTAGCTACATGACCTTGGTCAAGTTACCTCATTTTCTTAGCCTCGGTTTCCTCATCCGAGAAAAAGCACAAACATCTACTTTGAAGTTAATATAAAATTAAATTAGATAACATACAAACCCTTAGCACAGAACCTGGTACACAGTATGTGTTCAATCAACTTTAAGTATTACCATGAATTATAAACCTGCACCTCCCTACTTTTGAAATCTTTTATAGATTCCCCAATACTCTTTAAGATAAAATTAAAATTCTGACACAAGGTGCACAAGGTCTTACTTCAAGATTTGACTTATCGCTCTCCTCCTTCCCCCAGTCAGAAGTACACTCTCCTTCCTTTGAACTTCTAAACCCACTCTTTTCAGACAGCTCTCAAATTTACTAATTATATCTTACTCCTACTACATACAGGCTACAATTTCTTTACAGACACAACATCTTACTCATTTTATTCATATTTTGTATGACACCTTGCAAAGAGTAAGCACTAAGTATGTTTTTTTATTGAAATTCATTACTTACTTTACTGTAGGAATAATATTTGGCTGGGGTTTTAATAACCGTAAACGATACCACATGCACCTTCCATATACTTTTCTGATATTCTTTAATCGAATTTGCTCTGTCAAGAAAGAAAAATAAGATAAGATAAACCATTTTTCACAGTGAAGGTAAAACCTGTTAATATCATAATAACCTTCAATACCATGCTAATATTTTACTGGAACATGAAAGCACTGCCTATTCAAATAACCTTTAAAAAACTTTACAAGATAGGTTAAATTTTCTGTCATTTAGAACAAATGACCTATCTGGAAAATTTCATTTTTCACATGACTTAACTCATTGAAAATATAAAACTGACTTGCACTCACATATGATCAGTAATTTCTGAAAAATTCTCTCCCCCTTTCCCTTCCAATACAGAAGAAACAAAAGCATAAAACAGTTAAAACATGGTTTATTAAGAAAGCTAAGCAGATATGATACTCTTCAAACATGAAAATAATTGCCTATCAAAATATCTTCTAACAACAAAGTTTAGTTAGGTCTTATCTATTTAAAATATAAAACTAATAGAATTTGGAGCTTTAACATAAAATAAACTTTCAGTCAAAATAAAGTTGGAGAGTAAAATTCAGTATCACAAATTCTAATTATTTTGTGTTAAATTGGAAAAGTCTCCCAAACCCATAAGAATTCAAGATAGGTTTATGTAAAAGTTGTGACAAAAGCTATTATTTTAGTTCCCAGTAAAAATTTGCAGTTCAATTAAAAAGAAATTAAAACAAAGCCAAAATAATATGTAGTTTTACTAAATTCACCACAATCACTTGGTTTGAATAACTCTCCCAAGCTGAAAAAAAATTTTTAAGTTTTAAAGTAAAAATCTACCTTTTCAAAAACATTCTGTCAAAAAAAGGTAGAAAGCCCCTGCCCCTCCCAAAGTCCAAGCAAAGGCTTTGAAGGCCAAGAAGGCAATGCCAAAAGGCATTCACAACCACAAAAAAGATCTGCATGTCATCCACCTCTGAAGGCAGCTCAAATATCCAAGGAAGAATGCTCCCACAAAAAAACAAGCATTATCCTTATGCCATCATCTCAAGTTTCCCCACTACTGAGTCAGCCACAAAGAAGAAAAAAACACATTGTGTTAATTGTGGATGTCAAGGCTAACAAGCACCAGACCAAACAGGCTATGAAGCTCTATGACATTGGCATGGTTAAGATCAGCACACTCATCAGGCATGATGGAGAGAAGGCATATGTTTGACTGGCTCCTGACTATGATGTTTTGAATGTTGCCAACAAAATTGAGACCATCTAAACTGAGTCCAGCTGCCTAACTCTAAATATAAAATTTGTCAGCATATTAAAAAAAAACTACAAAACTGCAGTCCTTAAATGAGATGTCAGATAAGTAAAAGGACTTGGCATATAACAGAATGCTCCAAAGCTCCATGTAAGAAATCCAACTACCCTGTTACCATCATGCTTTGATGAAGGCAACCACATGGGAGAGCTATCTGGCAGGAGGTATCATAACCAAGTGTGATAAATAGGAATCCATGTAGGGAAGGAGGCAGTAGCACAAAAGGAGGCTGGTAATATACAGGAGGACTGATCAAGTAAGTTAAAATATTAGGGATACTTGGAGTTAGTTTTTCACTGTCAGAGAAAGGAGTGACCAATATGAAAAAATAGAAAAGAATGAAACTTTCTTCTGTTCTATTGGATTGGCATCAAAGGTATCTTTATGAATGAATGCCTCTTAATATAAAAATATAGATGCAGCTCCACATACATACATACATATATACATACATATTCCTTAGCTCTGTCTAGTGAGTGGGCCTAGGAGCAGCAAAATCCCAATAGCAATGTGCACATCTAGCACCCAGATCTTGGCTTCTAAATACCATTCTCCACTAACTCGGAACCAGGGATCCAAGTGTCTTCCCACAAAATATTAATTATAAAGGGGAAAACGATGACTTTACAGTGGGATAGGCTGAATAGCTGTCCCAAGATGTCCACAATCTAATACCTGGAACCAATAAATATATTATCTTAAATGGCAAAAGAGACTTTATAGATATGACCAAATTAAGGATCCTGAAATGGGCAATTATCCTAGTGGAACCAATATAATCACAGGGGTATTTACAAGAGGGGGGCAGAAGGGTCAAAGACAGAGACAGTGATGTGACAATGGAAGCAGAGGTTGGAATGATGCCCTTTTTGAAGATGAGGGAGGGGCCACGAGGTACGAAATACAGGCTATATCTAGAATCTGGAAAAGGTAAGGAAACAGATTCTAACCTAGAGCCTTCAGAATGAACCAGGTCTAGCAACACTATGACTTTAGCCCAAAGAAACTGATTTTGGACTTCTGGCCTCCAGAATTTTAAGAGAATAAATTTGTGCTGCTTTAAACCACTAAGTTTATTACACAATAGGAAACAAATACAGAAAACCTAACAGTCACTACCTTAACCAAGTGATCAGTGAACATTACTAATAAAAGGACAACCTGAAATCAGATATCACATGATAGAATGCAATGAAAAGAACACAGAATCAGTTTTGTAAAATTACTGCTTAGGATACTTTACCTGAATCTAATCATGAGAAAAACCAAAAAACCCAAATTCAAGTTTATTCTACTAAATAAATGGTCTGCAATTTTTAAAGTAAAGGAAAAGTGAAGAAGCAACCTCAGACCGAAAGAGACTAAAGAAACACATCGGCCGGGCGCGGTGGCTCACGCCTGTAATCCTAGCTCTCTGGGAGGCTGAGGCGGGCGGATTGTTCGAGCTCAGGAGTTCGAAACCAGCCTGAGCAAGAGCGAGACCCCATCTCTACTAAAAATACAAAGAAATTAATTGGACAACTAAAAATATATAGAAAAAACTAGCCGGGCATGGTGGTGCATGCCTGTAGTCCCAGCTACTCAGGAGGCTGAGGCAGTAGGATCGCTTGAGCCTAGGAGTTTGAGGTTGCTGTGAGCTAGGATGACGCCACGGCACTCTAGCCTGGGCAACATAGTGAGACTCTGTGTCAAAAAAAAAAAAAAAAAAAAAAAGGAAACCCATCAACTAAATGTGATGTGATTCTGAACTGGATCTTGTGCTATAAAGGACATTATTGAGATAAGTGACAAAACCTGAATGGGGTCTGACAATGAGATGGTGGTAATAATAATTTTCATGGTTAAATTATGAACACTTTTGAAAATACCACTGGTGATTTTTAAACATGTTTTATTAAATTAAGCCTTTATAGTCTATATTTTCAAGTATAAAATTAAGGAAATGTTTGATGAGGTTTTATAAGAACAATGTTGAAGTCTCTTTATGAACCAGATGGTTTGATCTATTCAAAGGTATGATGTTCTAATGTCCTCAGTCAAGAAAAAGTACACATGGTTTTCAGCCCCCATAGTCTAATATTATACAATGTGTACACATACCTTGTAAGCCACAGTATTCCGACCTAAAAATTAAATCTTAACCTTTCAGGGTAATATTTAAGTCAATAAATACTACTATAGGATATGGTTTACACATTAACACGGTGGCATTTAGATTTCCAGCACAACTAAATATTCATTGTACACATTGCAAATCTCTATATGAACGACCTCAAGTCAAAGTAACTATCACAAGTCCTTCCACAGAGTTTTTTATTTTTATTTTTTGTATAGATGAGATTTCTCTGTTGCTTCTCTCTTTCTCTGAGAGAAGTTCATTAATAAACTACTAATCTATAGAATTACTAGTTTAATTGCTATTAAAAATTATGCTAGAAATATCATTAATTTATGATATCATTTTTAAAGAAATTACCTACATTTATAGAAAAAGGAAATTCTAAGGTCATAAAACATTACAAACATATCATCCTCATTTATATAGCGGTAACCCTGCCTGTCAAAAAATTAAGAAAATATAGAAAGGAAAAAAATAACATGTCATGATCACTGTCAGCAGTTGAACTTTATTTAGTAAAGCTGCAGGATAATCCAGGTTTGGGTTAGGCTGTGCTTCATAAAACTTTGCCTTTGCTAAAACAGTCACATTTGTCCATGCTAGGATGATCAGCCAGTCCATAGCACTACTGAGTGAACTCTTAGCACGGGATCATAGAACCCAGAGAGTTGAATGAATGTTAGCCAGATGTGAAGTTTTCAAACCTGTTTAGCTGCTTACCACAAAAGAAAAATCATGTACCCTCTTGCAGATTTCTAATATGGCATCTAAAATTTTTCATCCTAAATTCAAAGAATAACAAAGGATGTCATCTGACATAAAGCTGACATTTTAAAGTGATTCCACCCTTTTTACATGTATCCAATGAAATCTAAAAACCATAGCAATTTCATATATTCATTTACAAAAATTCATGAATAAGCCCTTCATTCTACCTCCCCCACATAATTTTATCCTAATGTAACATTTTTATCGCAAGTCATTTCTTGTAACACTGAAACATACTTCTTAAAAGTACTTTTACAATTCTCCATGACTATAAAGTTTTTCCCAATTTTGTGTTTTGAAAATGTTCAAGCCATCAGAAAAGTTGAAAGAAAATTACAATGAACAATAAAATACTCTTCACCTAAACTCACCAACTCTTGGCTTTATATCTACTTCTTTCTTCCCCCTCCCCTCATTTTTATCTGAACTGCTTTAGAGTAAGCTGCAGACATCAAGACACTGCACCTATATAGAGCCACTGGGAGCTGTTGAAATAGAATGAAAAAAAAAAAAGACACTGCACCTCTAAATGATTTAGTACATGTCACCAAAGACCATCAATAAATCTACCATACTCAAGTTTAACAGCCATAAGGTTTTACATGCTAAATTTTCTAACATTACATTTTTTGTGTTATCAAGGCAACAAATACATTATAGATTGATAAATTATTAAATAGTAAAATCTGTTATGTTTTCACTTATAAGCATATTATAAATACCCCAAATGTTCAAAAAGGATTAAAAAAAACTCTTAAATACTGCTTATTTTTGAAAATAAAAAGTAAACTTCTGCCAATATGGCACAATGTTTGGTAAAATAGCTTTATCTTCTACTTCAAGTATATTTTGTCAAAACCTA